ACCATCAAGTACTACATGGTGTCGAGTTGTGATTGATCTGGATAACGATAAAACATTTAGCTTCTGAGGTTTTGCTTCTTTTATGGTTTAACAAAAATAGTTTTAACACTAAGGCACACACGTACATATAATACAATAGTATACTGGATTTAAGGTCTATATACTTATAAGTTTTTTTTTTTCTCAACATACCTACAAAATCTATATGGTCATACAGATACTATTTTCTTTCTTTTGCATAAAGTTCTACATTCAATATGAAGAAACAATTGTATATAGAAACTAATGACATGAAAGACCTAATTATATATAGAAATATTGGTATAAAATTAAGAATTTGGCTAATCTGGTTTGAGGCTAAATGCTTACCTATTGAGTATGAAGAACATATTAATATACATATTGACGTGAGAGAGTTCCATATAGCTAAGCATGCTTGTTGTGTTTCAAAAAAAAAAAAAAACGCTAAGCATTCTTGTTGAATCCCCAAAACCATAAGTATATGCATGACTGTTAATAAGGTATATATGCATCTACAAAACCTACGTGTACCATGAGGCGAAAATAGTAGCCGTATTTATTGATCAGTTTAAAGTATTGTTTTAATTTATCTGACGATGGGTATATATATTTCTCAAAACTTGTACACTGAACAATGTATGTTAAGAGTCGTTACTTCCTAAGGAGTCGAAAGTTTGTATTTGGTGTCTATTTTGATCGTAGAGGTAAGATATATGTGACTGAAAACACTTTCTTAGAGAGCCTGGTTGTATCTCATGGTAAAAGCCAAAGCCAAGGTCGAATAGGCAACGAAACTAAGATGGAATCAGAGCAGGACTGCTCCTTTGACAAGTGTTTGCACTGAATCCAACAACTTCGCTGGGCTTATGCATATATTTATATTTATGTAATATGTTACTATGTATGCATAATGCATGGTTCGATGGATCATGAAGTGGATTTAATTAGACGAATTATGTATTAAAATTAAAAGAGAAAGATCGAGGCATATGGACCTCAAACCCTACCAACCCCCCAAAAAACCCAAAACCAAACCAAACTCACATCTCTTTGTTTGTCTCTTTGTTTCCTCTCTAAACACCCTCCGGGTAGGTGTGTCTTCGACGCGTGATTCATGTCTTCCCACCGTTCCTTTTACATTAATTTTTCATATCTATATTTAATTTAGTCTCTTTTTAACGAATATTGATGTGGTAGGTTCAGGAACTACCCCTTTGTCCATTGAAAGATGTTATGCATGCAAGTTATATTTAGTTTAAAAAAAGACTATATCATCATCCGCGCACCCGTGAGAATTTTATTTTTACTTAAAAAAAACTATATATATGTGTTTTATATTATTTAGTTTTATATAGTTTTAAGTTTTTCTATATTTATTTTATGTGACTAAACAACATGAGTAAAATTATGTGTTTATACCAATAGTTTTTTATAAGTGTGTTATAGATATATGTGCAGTGAAAACATTAAATTGATTATCCGAATTTAAACTCGTAAAGATCGGAAATGAATCCGTACCAAAATCTTGAATGGAGATTAAATTTTTAACCTCAAAAACTTGAGATTTAAATAGACTCGAAACAAATTCGGATGGTTCATGAATGTCTATCTATAGTTTAAAGTTTATCGTACAAGGAATACAGACAATTAAAGTGTAGAATTGGTCAATTTCATAGTATTGGTTTAGAGTATTGAAATAGCATTGATTAATAGTATTGATAGTATTGATATAAATAATAATATATGTAGATTAACAAAGTGTCTGTAAAACAATTGACATAAATGAAGATATATAATATAGTTTGTTCTATAATAAAAGTATAGTACATATTTATAGATTAATACATATTGGTTGAATGATATAATGAATATATACAGAGAAATATTTGAATTAGAAATATTAGATGTGCTATGGAAGAAAATAGTTATGGTTGTTAGTTGAAATATTATTTAAGAAAATATTTTATTAAATATTGAGTTAAGAATTCAGATAACCTAATTATTAGTAAGTCCAACTTTAAATTCTGCATAGAAGTTGTAATGTTTCTATTTTAATAATATAAATTAGTTTTTATAATGGGGTTCAATGTTGACCAGTAATTTAAAATAGATCATGATCCGCACGGATGCGCAGATTTTTTTCCGGATGTATTCTATATAATTTAGTTTTATATAGTTTTGAGTTTGTCTAATTCGATTTTATGTTTAAAGAACAATATCAAAACGGTATTTTGTATTAATAGCGTCAAACAATTTATTATGTAGATGTAATCATGTGTGAAAACACTAATTCAATATGTTTGTTCAAAGTGCAAAATCATATTCAAAGTTAACTATTTGTATTAAAAAATAAGTTAAAATATTAATAATTATCCAAAAATTTTAAAATAATATATAAATTTCTAAAAATTTTGACATTAACCTTTATTTTATTAGTTATGTCAAATTCAAAGTTAACTTTGGTCTTAACTTTGCAAGCATGTATATTTTATGATGAAAAAATCAATAATAACTTAAAAATATTTTGGTAATTTGAAAGAATTTTAAGTATTTAAAATATATTTTCATTTAAATCAGTATTTTAAAATTCAACCCGGATTGCGGTTAAACCGGTGATCCGATAATTCAATTTTGTTTTTTTTAAAATATTCATATTTAAAAAAATCACTTAAACCCGAGACTACCGATTAACTGATATTTAATATTTAAACATGTAAAAATAAGTTTATTTCATTTTTACATATTATTTGAATTTTTTTAATTTAACTAAATAATTTGAAATGAAAATATTAATAAGGGTGATATCTAATATTTTGTATTGTTTGGACTTAAAATTAATGATAGTGTTGTTTGGAAACATGAATAGTAGTATAAAGAAATAAGTATATTGTTTGGAAACATAGATATTAGAATAAAGAAATAAATATAATGTTTGGAAACATGAATAGTAATAAAAAAAATATTAGTGGTTTAATGTATGTTTAACTATAAAATAGAAAAAAAATTAAAAAAAAATCATAAAATAACAATAACAAGAAATATTAGTGGTTTAGTAACCTTGTTAGTTAATATTTGATAAATTAATAAATACAATAAATTCGATTAAATACTAAGACAATAAAAATTTAAAAAATCATTTAGAAATATATGGTCCCGTTACAATTATAAATTAATAATTACTAGATATGAAGTTTACATAAACATAAAAAAAAAATTGATGTTATTTTGTCAGATTATACCGGTTCAAAATACAACACAATTTGATTAAATAATAAGACAATAAAAATTTAAAAAATCATTTAGAAATATATGGTCCCATTAAAATTATAAATTAATAATTACTATATATGAAATTTACATAAACATAAAAAAAATTGATGTTATTTTGTCAGATTATACCGGTTCAAAATACAACACAATTCGATTAAATAATAAGACAATAAAAATTTAAAAAATCATTTAGAAATATATGGTCCCGTTACAAGTATAAATTAATAATTACTATATATGAAGTTTACATAAACATAAAAAAAAAATTGATGTTATTTTGTCAGATTATTTATATCTAAAGATGCATCTAAATTGATATTACATATTATATACATCAAATAACCTTCTAAAGATAAAGTAAGAGTTGACTCTATTAAACTATTTTTATATCAAAATAAATTTAAAATATATAAATCTAAAAAATAAAATTTCCTTTAAATTAGTAACTTAAAGTTGTAAAATTTCAAAATCTCAACATAATTAATTTATAGACTTTTCACTTAATTATATATAAGGATTTTATAGGTTCTAGTAAAGCCACTTTAGTTTAAAGGAAATGGAAACAAAGATGTGTGAGGTGTATGGTATTTGAATTACTAACATAAAATTAATGGAGTTCCATTGCCGAACCAAGTCCAACCTTAAATGTTTCTATCCTCAATGAAAACACACAGAATGGATTGTTAAAGAAAATGAGAATATTTTCTGAAAATCGTCCGGAATAGATGATGATACACCACATTTTGTAGCGTGATTCTAATGCGTGAGTGAATAAAGTCACGACACTCATTGAAGTTTGAATAAGTGAATGATGTTTGGTGTAATAGGTGATCGATTATTAAAGAAAAAAAAAACTGCAGCTACCAATGTGTTGCAGTATCAACTTTCAACTAGCAATACCTTTTCTCAAATCCTCTTCTTTGATGAAGTTAGGTTAGCTCCGTCTGTCAAAGCCCATTGGCCCAACTATAACTACTACATTTTAGTATAATAATTTGGTACATAGCTCTTGTATGACACAGAAACAAGAACAAAAACAGGTATAAATAATTTCGTACTGATATACAATTGTCCTCAACAAAAATAAAAACATAATAATTTTAAAATAAACTAAGAAATGTACAAGTTTTAGGTGTTACCTTGTTAGTAGTGAATGTCAAATTTTTTTATTTACATCAGTACTTTTCCTATGTGATGTTGGATAGTATGGTCATGCTGATTTTTACGTCCAATCCATATACTTCGAAACACTATACTTTTCTGGAAAATGGAGTTGTATGAATTATAAATTAATAAGGAAAAAAGTGAAAAAAAAACAATTCGTGCTGATCACCGCAGCTTTGTGTGCGCCGAAGCATGAGACAAGTAAAGTGTTTAAAAAGAAAGTGAATATCGCATTTAAAGTAGTTAATTCTGCGTGTCATGTTTGGATATGACATGACCGTCCATTGAATCGTAGCCGTTCAATCTTAAAAATATCTAAACCCATATGCTTGATACCATGTTCGGGAACGTTCTTAAGACGAGATATTTTTGGACACCCAAAAAGTTCTAGAAATTCTGTTGTATGATTATTCTTTCACATAACCGCCATTGTTGTCACCTCCTTACTTTATATAAGTCCCCAAGAACTTCATTATATTTCCTGTGCTATGAAATGTGGTAGAGATTAATTATTTCACATATATATATAAGACAAGTTGTAACCAATGGAAGGTCGCTTTAAAGCAACGTCACCGTCTTATTACGAGATTCTTGGCGTCTCCGTTAATTCCTCGGCTGAGGAGATACGACGAGCTTATCGAAAACTAGCTATGGTGGGTCATCGTTGCTTCTTGTTTATAACTTTAGGCGTACCATGAGAATAAAAGTTCTAACGTTTGTTTTTTTTGGGTGAAGAAATGGCATCCTGATCGATGGACGAAAAATCCGTTTAGGTCTGGAGAAGCAAAACGAAGGTTTCAGCAGATTCAAGAAGCTTATTCAGGTAAGAATCAGTTCAGACTTTTTGATTTGAGGTTGCTCTGTTGTTATATGTCTGAAACTGACGGTGTTGTGTTGTTTTTTTTGTTAGTGTTGTCGGATCAGAAGAAACGAAGTTTGTACGATGTGGGACTCTATGATACACAAGAAGATGAGGTAATAGATAATGTTAATTGCAGTTTGAAGATTTTCTAGACTGTTTTATTGATTACAGATGGCTGATTTGTTTCTGTAACTAATGTAGGGATACTGTGATTTCGTTCAAGAGATGGTTTCACTTATGGCTCAGACGAGAAGAGAGGTAAAGTTTTTTTCCTTGTAACCTAAATTTGCTCTTAATTTTCTTTTGGACCACACGTTAACGGTGTGAGAGTGGTTGCGTGCAGGAAAAGCAATACAGCCTGGAGGAGCTGCAGACAATGCTAGATGGTATGATCTATGAGTTCCAATCAGAACCGTTATTCCAGAACCAATCAACCGAAATGAAATTTGACCTGAACCAACCGGCAGATTGGTCCTCGCATATGTCTCTACCGGTTTCAAGCTTCGAGTTCTGTCCTCAGAGCAGCTATTGTAACTAGATTCACATACACATGGTCTGGAGGTTTTTTCACCTTATAGAGTGGTGATTGAAGAACAACGCTCCTTGTTTCTAGCTAATGGATATTCTGAAGGGTGTTAGTCTGCAGTTTTTAACTTGTGTAGCAAGAAAACAGAGTTTTGCTCTAGGGATTTTCACCTTTTGCTGTTTTTGACAGTCCTGAAAATGGTGTCAAGGTTGTAAATAATCGTTTCACTTTCAAGCATAGATGTTTAATTGCGTTTTTCCAATGCCTTTGTACTATTAACCTTTTCATCAATCAAATATACAGGCAATCGCAAAGACCTTTACCAAACAGAGAAGATAAAAAAAAACAAAAGCATATCGCATATGTTAGCCCAAATGGCTTTTACTAACTTAGTAAGGAGGCTTGAGGCCTTATTCCGGCCCAAGTTCTTATCTGAATCAAAACACAAGCGCAGAATACAACCTTGTAGATCAAAAAGCTAATCATCATTTTAAAACTTATTAACCAAGCCAGTCCGTTTATTCAAAAGATGCTGTTTTCGGAATACAGTATGAAGAGTCTGTTCTATATGCTTCCCCTAATTTTCGTCAATAATGTTAAACCATTACGTCTGGCTTTTAAGTCGATACATGAATTGTAGAGACCTTCTGTATCCTAATATTGTTTTCAAATATGACATCATGACGACGTCTTTAGAAAAATATATATAACAGAAACCACACTTTTCTTCTTCTATGTTGTATGTTATTTTTTAGTGTTTTCCTTTTAAGAAATCTATAGGGGATCGTGAATTGAATCTTAAGCAATCTTTAATCGTACCTGAAATATGGAACTGATAAATCGTTGATGGATTGTCAAGGAGGAAGCACTAAAGGGATGATAATATACAATAATAGTTATACACAATCATCAAACACTAAGAAGATATATTTTATAATCGCCTATTATCCCTACTTTTCACGTATCATTAAAAATAGCGACCATTTCACGCTTTGGCAACAATATTTACACAATACAGAGTCATACAAATACACTTTTTACTTTTAAAACCAGAGAATAATCAATCATTGTATGATCAAATCAAACCCTTTGTAACAAATAATTGGAAACGTTTGGGCTTTTATGTGTAGATAGATATTAAACAGTAATATTTTATTTTGTGGAAGGACGGTGGATCATATGCTAATAATTCCACATTGTTAAAATTTTTAATCAAAGCTGGATAGTAATTGAAACGTGGGACCCCTTAATTCAAGCTCCAACTCACATGTGATAGCCGACGATTTCACAATACAATGTATTTTCTTCTTCATTAATTACATTGCATAATGTAAAGTATTATTATAGTATTTTCATCTTTAGCTATCAATAGAAAAAAAACGAAAAATTGGACAAAAGTATACAGTCTTGAAGAAGTATATCAGTCCCATGCATCCTCTTAGCAAACAAGACCAACTTCATTAACATAAACATTTCTACGTATAAGCTAAAAAAAAACCACCCAAGACTCTCTTTATACGATTCTTAAAACAATCCTCTACATGCAGGAGATGTCTCGCCGCTCAAAACCACTAGTTCTCGCTATCTTCATGGCGATTGCGTTTCCGATGATGATCAACGCATTGGATTCTCCAGCCGCAAGAAAACTCGATGAGGAGCCAATAAAGTGCACGCCATGTCTTCAAAAGCCTCCTCCTCCTCCTCCATCACCTCCACCACCCACTACAAGAAAACTAGTATATAGCCACAATTCATCTACAAACATTTCGTGGCGATGAAAATATAGCCACAAAATATCCACAAAATAGCTGCGACACAATTTTGTGGCTATTACGTAGCTTTTTGTGACTATTTAGCAACAAAATATTGTTTGTGGCTATTCGAAGACACATAACCACAATTTAGCTACAATGTAAATTGTGGAAGTAAATAACCACGAAATTCCACGATTTGATCTGCAGCCAATATAGCCACAATAGTGTTCATAGCTACCCGAAGCCAGAAAAAAAAGTTAAAATATATTTTTTTTTTTTGAAAAAAGAAAAGTTAAAATATTAAAAAATAGATACAAACTATTTTCTGATTATTTGTGGCCACTTAAAATACATGGCTCCAATAAAATTGTGGCTATCCATAGCAAAGAGTGTAACATGTAAATGCACTCTTTTTTTAACATGTAATTGCACTTATCACTCATAAAAATATATAATATATATGTAATACCAATTTTTTTAGAATACTTACAATGCTCTATGGAAGGTTAAAATAATTTTTTCAGATATAGTAATATAATTGAATCAAGTTCCATACTATCGAGACACAATATATGCATTATGTATTGATTTATTCTTGGGTTCACTCCTTAAGGTGAACCTCTAGGTTCACCAACTAATATGATGGTATTGTTTTATATTTGATATGTTTTAAAAAAGAAAACAAAATCTTGTTAAGTTATATTATGTTTTTAAAATAAAAAATAGAAAAAAATTAATAAAAATTATAAATTTTACAAAAAAAAGAAAAAAATCTTTAAAAAAAATATTTTAACATTATATTATGTTTTTAAAATAAAAAGATAAAAATAAAAACAGTTATAATTGCAAAAAAAATACAATTTTTTTAAAAAAATCTTTTAATATATCTTTAAAATGAAAACAAAATATTGTTACATTATATTATGTTTAAAAATAAAAAGATAAAAATAAATAAAAAAGTATAAATTGGTTAGTATTAATTTTTTTTATTTAGTGTTTAAGATTTTTCCAAAGGGTTTATGATTTACTCAAGGGTTTAAGGTTTATGATTTACTCAAGGTTTAGGGTTTATGATTAGGGTTTAGTGTTAAAATATATTTTTTAAGAATTTTTTCGTTTTTTGTAGATATTATTTATTTATTTTTGTATTTTTATTTTAAAACATAATATAACTTAACAAGATGTATTTTTTTTTTAAGAAATATCAAATATGAAATAATAACATCATATTAGTTGGTGAACCTATAGGTTCATCCCAAAAGGTGAATCCAAAAATAACTCTTATGTATTACTATGCTATTTAGTTAATCTATATTATAATAGTTCACTTCTAAGGCTCCTAAAGCTATCCACATCAGCAAATTTGTGGGTCCCGCACATTTAAATTTTAAAAGCTTATAGTTTTTTTTAAATGACTATGAACAATGAATACACTTTAGCAAAGTGGTGTAAGGCATCTAATTAAGTCCACAAGCATGTGGGTTCAAATCACGTAGCTGTTATGTATTTTAGTTTTTTCCGTTCGGATTATTATCATATGAACTTTTTAGTTTTAATGTTTGTATGTTTTTTACCTCTGGATTTAAAGCCCAAAATAGTAAAAAAAAATCCTAAAGTTTGACGAACTCAAACCCAAAACAAGTAAAAATGAATCAAAAAACAAAAAACAAAAAACAAAACGAGTCTCACGCGCCACTATCATGTCCTAATATATATTTTATGTTAGAACATATTTCCTAATATATATTTTCAAAAAATTATGTATGTGAAATAAAATAAAAACAACAAAATTTAAGTATTTTTTTAATTTATAAAATAACTATGTAATTTCTCTTCCATTTTTAATAGTTACTATAATTTCATTTTTAACAGACTCCGGCGAATATATTTCCACAGTCGATGACGCCATAAATAAAAATCACATTATTCATGAACAAAATTCAAACTTACAAAAAAACATATCCAAACCTATCTATTGAAACCCAAACAACAAATATTAACTTAAATTAAAGTTATTTTCAAATTGATAAATCGTTTAGTACAAATATAAATACTATAAATAAATAATTATATCAAGTTTTGATCTCTGATATAAAAACTATTTCCAGCATAGAAAAATAACCATGATAGACACCTATTTTTATACACTAGAAATTATATTATAATTTAGTTATCCCTATAAAAATTACTTCGCATATAGATAACATTTAACACATTATATATATATACAATATTTTCACTTAACACTTTTGCTACATTTCTTTCCATTTCATTATTATTTGGTATTATTAGAATAACCCACAAAACCAACAATCGGAAAAAACACAAGCAAACAATAACGATCTCGGCCCCGCGCTTGCGCGGAAGATACGCAACTTGTTACATTAACTATCTAAGATTGTGGTTTGTTACATTATATATTCATCATGTTATTATTTTTAGATGTTCCTAGTAAAAAAAAAGTTGTTCAAATAATAACTTTATGCCACAGTGTATAGGTTCAATATTATAAACGCACAAACGACATCAAATATATTGTAAAACAATTAATGCTACACAACACTACAAAGATAAACCCATTATTTTTCAACTACCGTTCCTAGAGTTATACTTAAACATTATTTTCTAAGAGTTGGATTAAATGTTTCATCATAGGTTATTATTACACCAAAAAAGAAATGAAATTTCAAAACTAAATCCAAACATTATATTTATAAACCATAAATATGAAATTTAAATTCCAAATTCTATATCTAAATTCTAAACCTATCTCGAACTCCAAATCTTAAAACTAAATCCAAACAATATATTTCAAACCCTAAACTCTAAACATAATCTCTATATTCCAAATCATAAAATTTAAATATCATATATGCTCAACTTAAATTCATAAATCTAAACTCAAATCCAGCCCTATTCCCAAACCCCAAATCTTAAAACTCAGGCCAAACTTATCTAAACCTCAAATACCAAGTTATTGCTTCTTCCTTTACATTGTTAGATAACACTATATAAATGCAAAAATATAAAGATGCAAAATAGCTGATTATGTTTACCAAAAATACACATTTTACAAAGCTATGGTAATTTGAATGCTAAATTTTATCAAAATTGATATTTAATCATTAATCTTTTTTTATAAACAACCATTATTATAATTATTATTATTATTGTAGGAAATTAAGCACAAAATTTTTTAAGTGGCGGGACAGTTCCCGGGTATATAACTCCAATGGATAGCGACAACTAGATTCGCAACAATCTAAAAATTAGAAAGTGATCACAAATTTTTTTACTTCCCGGGTTGTTTTCCCGGCTAAACCAAATTACAGCCACTTGATTTATTACTTAAAGAAAAGAAAGCTAAACCTACTTGTTACCTCCGCCTAACTATTATTACGGATCTACTTCTTCTCTTCTCACAGTCAATCTCTTTTCCTTTCACTTTAATCCTCAGTATCCTTTCTCTCTTCCTTTATGTTTCTCTGTTTATCAAGGTCAGAGATCTCTTATTTGTTTTCTTTTTAGATTGAAATCTGATGGGTCAATTTTCTGGGTTTTAATTTGCATGTACTGTTTCGTTTTAGGGTTGGTTTCGATTTTGATAAAAATATGAGATGTAGCTTCATTGGGTTGGGTCGATATGTGTTCTAGGGTTTGTAGTGTTTTGTTCAAGTGATTTGGTCGATATGGATAAATTCTCAGAAGTCTGGGTCGATTTTTTCAAGCTTATTTGTAATGTTTAGTTTTGTTTTCTGTATATAATTCTCTCACATGTTCTTTTGCAGATGAATATCCTACATGGTTCTTCTTCAGGGACAGCTAGGAGGAGCCGTCAAACTTGTTTTCCTCCTGGATTAAACAGTCCTGCTAGGTCCGCTTCTCTTCCTCCTGGAGTGACCAAACCAGCTCTGTCTGCTTCTCAACATCCACTTCCAAGCTTAGCTGCTGTGATGGGTGAACCTGAGAGACGTAACATGCCTCTTTCCATCCACAATGGGCCAATGAAACTTTATGGTGAGTTCAGTGTTTCAGTTATTTGTTTGTTGTTTGAGTTATTTTCTTAAGTTCTATCTTTGAGCTATTAGTTCAGAAAAGAACTAAAGGATATAGGTGATTTGTTGATTTGATTACGTATGTCAAAAACGATTGTTTTTAGGTGTTTGAGTGTTTGATTTATTTGTAATGTTTTGTGTTTGAGTTATGAGTTCAGACAGTAAACATGTATTAGGTCTAAGCATAATGGCTATTGTAATTCTTTGAGTTTACATTGGTCTTTGCCTCAGCTAACAAAACGTTTGGGTGTTTTTTTCATAGGTTTGGGATAGACGACTGTGTCCGGAAAGATGTAGTGTCAACATATCAGTCAAACTGTTTACATTGAAGTAAGAATCTCCTAATCTAACGCAAATAATCAATTTTAATAGCATAAGAATTTTGGTTTTGCCTAATGAATTGATCGAAACTGTTTTTGTGGTATTCTATATATATGAGTCTTTTTCTTCAATTTTTTTTTTCTTGTAGGTGGCAACCAATGGCAAAGGGAGAGTTTCTGGGCTTGGTTCAATTCCAGATATTGATGATGAACCAAGTGAGACTTCACCACTCTTTATTTACTCATGTGGCTGTTGATGGACGCTTGACCACCGTGGAGGGTGTTGTAAGAGGTGCTGATGAAGATGAATGGAGTGGATCCTGTTACCTTTGAACCTATTCAGCGTGATAGTGATGCCTCTGTTCCAACTCCTCAATCAAGCCAAGAACTTGACCAAAATTCTCCCGTACACTCTCTCCAATCTGATCTTGGTGTCTTTTATGTTTATACTAAGTTAAACTCTAACATCATTACTTGTCTTTTGTAAAAACATAACTAGATGTTTTTTGTAACTATTGAAGAACATCATTAGATGTCTTTTGTAAAAAACCTATAATTTTAATGGTATTTGAATGTTTAAATTAATTATTATGCTTTTAATCTCATGATTTTGTTTAATGATTTAAATTTGATTTCACATTAATAATAAAATACAGATTAAAAATAAACTAAAACCAATAATAAAGCCACAGAAAAGCACACATAAATTTGTGGCAATGTGTAAACTAAAACCACTAATTTCTACTTCATAAGTTGTGGCTAGACAAGCCACAAATACAAACAATTGTGGTTATTTTGTGTCAAAATTTCCACAAGACGTTTTGTTGATATTTGTAGAAAAAGCCACGATTTTAAAATGCCACGAGTTGTGGCTGATAAAACCACAAAATTCTTGTGGCTATTTGCGTGTAAAATCCACAATTAGTTTGTAGTTATTTGTAGAACATTTTCTACAGTTTAGACCGTGACTTTTTGTAGCCAAAATTGCAACGAATCCGAGTTAACGCTATTTGTAGCTATTGGCCACAAAAATGGGTTGTGGCTAAGTCGTAGAAGTGCAGCAACAAATAGCAACGTTCATCCGATTGCCACAAGCTCATAGTCAGCGAAATTTTTGTGTGGCGATTCGTGGCTAAGCGTTAAATAGCCATAAAAATCAGTCGATAGCTACAATATTTTCCGTGGCTAAAAACAGAATTTCTTGTAGTGACCGTCTCCTTCTTGTCCTCCTCCACCACGGCCTCCTTCTCCGCCGAAGAAGTCTAACTGTCCGCCTCCTCCGTCGACTTACATATACATGACTGGTCCTCCAGGAGAGTTGTATCCCGTTGAACAACAGTTTGGAGAAGCTGCTGCAAAGAGCTCAAGGGTCGTGAAGATCTCTGGTCTAATCGCGTTTGGAGTTATGGGTTTCTTGATGAGAATGAATTGATGGATTTTCTATTGTTTGATCGTCTCATAGATTCATTTTGCTTTAACGGATGGTATAATGATGTTCCTGACAACTCATAGTTATTGTCCGAAAAATTATCGATATGGATTATGTTTATCTCAAGTTAGAACCGATTTATCATTTTTTCCTTTGTACCAACAATTCTAATGAATATATGCTTATTAAATATTTTTGTATTTACAGAGGTATTAATTCTATAAAGTATATATGTGATCGCTTCTCAACTTAACAGTCTTAATTAGGTTGATATATCCTCAAAGTATAATGTTTGTAGAATGGTTGAACATTCCAATTTGATATATCCTCAAAATGTTTTCATAAAGTGTTTTATTTAAGGTTACAAACTCGGTGTATTTGGAGTATCTCTGGCTCTACACATCTTTAACTTTCACTTTGACATAGAATTTACACTAAAATATATATTTTAATTTTATTCTATTTTTACTTGATAACGAAAAAAAAATTATATCGTAAACGATAATATTCCGATCTTTTTATTTATTACTCTATTTATATTTTAAAATAGAATAGAATTGAAATAAAAATTAACTCCATTTTTGAGTACTTTATAAAATGAAAAATGAAATAATACAATAGAACTGCTTTGAAGTTTTAATATTAAAAACGAACTAGGAGAAAATGACTAAACGAGTAATATAAAATTAAGTCGCGATTTTTGAATTTTACATTAGATAGAACTTTCAGGAAGAGTGTGAAAGATTTTGATGTTGTCTTGTTGTAATTCTTGCCTAAATAAAAGCTAAAGAAATAGAAATGAAACGTAATTTCTACCTATAAAGCTCTACTCTTTTAGTTCTATATATATTTGTATTATTATCTCAGTCCACCTCATCTCTCCTTTGCTTTCTTAATAAGCATATAAAAGTATAAATAATTAACAAAAGGATTGAGGAGAAAAAAAAAAGAATCAACAGATTAGGCTCCCCTCTCTTTCGTTTGTTTTTTCAGAGGCTTTCCCATTGTATAATTTTATAATGCGGGAAATAATAGAGCAAATCACAGCCTGGGCTTAATTATAAGCTGCTAATCATCTTAGCTACTAGCGAGTGATACACATGCATATGATATATGTCGTGGCTTTTTTCATGCCGTGTGTAAGAATAATCTCCAAGTGGTCCTCAAATAAATGGGAGTTACAACAAAAAAAGGATAAGCATTTGGTACCTCTTACTCACGAAAATATTTACATGATTTTATAAGTTTTATCGCATATTGAATGTAAAATAAGTTTTGGTCTAAATCTATCTCTACGTAATAACAAAAATTATATTTCTTCTATATTTCTTGAGAAAGAGAAATTAGTCTCTATATTTTCTTCCCTCTCCTCTGGTCATAGCAACTAGCAAGAAGCTCTCTAACAAAATGCGAGCAACTGGTATTTTCTAGTACTAACCGTGTAACGTAAAGTTTAAACGTTTCACATGTAATTGTATTCGGGAATTTTGACGTTGCATATAGTATATAGTATATACTAGTATGAATAGAACCCGCCAATGTTTTTTTAATTCAATTTCATCATGTCTATCAAGCGGTGACTTGCATCATTCATGGATTCCTTGAAGAGGGACAAACTTATACAGCCAAGTATCAAATTTACAAGACAACAAGTGTATCGGAGCCACAATACACGTTAAGATCTCATTGACCTTGTTAGTCGTCACTATTCATCATTTTCATCACTTTGTCTTTTGTGACTTGTCTTAAATCACTTAAATGAACATATATTTTTTTTGTTCAAAACAATGTAACCAAACTTTTACTTAAAAAAATCCCTTCACTTAATGGTTTCCACTCGGACTCAATCACACAACAAGTAACAGAGAAAAAAAAAATCTCCTACTTCTCTCTTTTCTCTTACTAAAAACATTTGTTTGCTTATCATTAAAAAAATCTTTCATAAAAAGAAAAACGATAGCCATGATGAGTAAACGTTGCAGTCACCTCTTAAGTCTACTCTTCGTCTCTACTCTTCTGAGCTTCCCGTTCATAACCATATCAGAGACGCCGTGTCCGTACCCTTGTTACCCTCCTCCAACTGGTGGTGGCTCAACTCAACCGACCGGTTATTACCCTCCTCCAGCCGGTAATTATCCTCCTCCAACTGGTTATAACCCTCCTCCAACTGGAAATGTACCGAATTACCCTTCTCCACCGTACGTCGGAGGTGACTCCGGCGGAGGATATTACGGTCCTCCACCGCCTGACCCTATCTTGCCTTACTTCCCGTTCTACTACAGAAAGCCTCCTCATCAGACGGATCAGTCATCATCTTCATCTGTTTCAGTGGGATCAACGGTCAAGATTGTAATGGTGGCAAGTGTTCTTGCGTTTCTTCGGGGTAACGTCTAGTTTATAAGTTTAAAATGTAATTTTCGTTAGATGAAACTTTATGTTACGATATTACTATATAAGAAGTGCGGTGTGGTGCAATATGATATGCTTTAGTTAGTGTAAAGATGAATCAACAAGTTGGAGAAAGGGTTTAAACCTATAGGCTTAGAACTTTATTCGATCCTCCTTTTGCTTTTGCATTATTGTTATGTTTAATTACATGTAGTTTTTAAATTACATCATGTTGTTGTTGTCGCGATGTCTAACATTAGGATAAGTGCAATACAACCAATGTGGAGAACGTCACTTTCGGTTGGTGTGACTTTGCAGGTGGATTTATGGCATGGGCAATTGCACTTAATTCACGTTAAGACTTTTCTATATATTTACACATTCTAAAATAACACAAACACTACACAAAAGTTATGATTTTAGAAACTACCTCTACTTTGTAAACATAAAAAGCTTAAAACCATCATAAAGTTTAGGTTAACAACTGTTTTATGAGTTTTAAGTAAAATTACTAGATCATTTAAAACTCCTTCCTAGTTTTAGTAACTACAACTTTCGGAATTTATAAAAATTAATGATTTTCTTGATGATTGAAAAACATACAATGCGGTATCTTCGAATCTTGATTATTGTGTTTTTGTTCCTGCCATTAAACATGCTTCAGAACTTGCCAAATTAATTATCATCCCTCTTCAACTTGTACACTTTAAAAAGAAATTGGTTTGCCTTTGTTCAAAGGGACTATTTGTTTTGTAAACTTCAATTGGTCACTTCACAATGAACAATGTTTCGAAAATGATCATAACTACTATGGATACGTCCATGGAGGCATAGACAACCCAATTCAACATGATCATAATTTCATATAATTATCTCATAAATCTTGATTTACTAATTTTTCTATTTTTAGTTTTAGTTTTATAAATAAATTTAAATAATATATTGCTAGATCGAAAAACTTGTAAAATATTTTAAATTAATTTTGCTTATTTTCCATTTACTTATACAAAAGATTGATTGGTTCATACTATAATTTAAAAGTATTACTATGCAGAGTTTTCTTATTGGATATAACACGTACTTAGCAGAGTTACAATTATATAAGCTTAAGGGAATGATAAAAGCATAGGATGATAATAGATGGCGACGCAGTATTCCAACTACCACATGTCCGTTTAGTTCCCGCTCTTCCGAGTACCAACCTTCTGTTTTGTTTCAACGGCCATAAAGTTACCCTTTTGCAAACCCGAATCTTTACCTACACTCTGTTTTCTATTACCCACTTTTACCGTCTTACCTTCTTCAAAACCGTGTTTATTACCACCAACTCTTGACACCGTCCTGTTCGTACTTGAGACTGAGGTCACGCTTCGTGGTCTTGATGGTGCTACTTTAGATTGCTCGGTCTGAAAACGTTTTTAAAGATCGCAAGTTTAAAGTATTAAATTGATTGCATTGCTACTTTTTGGTTCTTACTACAAGTAGACTAGTCGATGGACTATTTGAAATATAACTTCTTCTTGTTTCAGACAAAGATTGTACATACCTTGTTACGAGACACCGGTCTAGTGATGGTGTTGTAAAATGAAGGCATTGGTGTTGCCTTAAAGTTGAGGCTTTTTCTGAATTGCTTTATCTCAGCTTCTGCCTTTTGCTGCATCCCAAAATGTAACTCTAAACCAATTAGCTTTTGACATGAGACATGTCTAAGTTTCGAAGAGAGTTGATGATACCTGTGTTTTTGCTTGAACCTGGTTAGTCTCTGTCTTTTTAGCATGTATTTTCTCCTCCAATTTCATATAGAACTAAAAAGAAAAAAAAGTGTTTTACAAGGTTTTGCTTAAATCAAGAATAAATAATAGTTTTCTTGAAGAGAAAGAAAACCTCTTTTCTCTTCTCAGCTCGTTCGCTACATTTGAAACGGAAACTAGTAACACCTGTACTCATCTCCAGCTTAGCAGAACAAGAACTAGTCTTGGGCCTGAAAGTGACAATGGTCAGATTGTTGAAGTCGATTACATCATTTACAGTGGTCTTAGTATTAAACCTGTTTGTGGCAATTCGAGTCTCTATTTTCTTCGCTGTTGAAGGTCGAGATTCAACACTTATCTTCGGTCTTAAACCTATTTGGCTGCCAAAAAACCCAATACGTTCTTAGGTAAAGAGAACAGAGTTACAACATTTTTCTCTATGGAAAAAAAAAGCGTAAAAGTTACCTCTTGGCATCAACTTTTGTTTTAGAGTTAGTCTTTAAAGAAGAACCCTTTGTCCTCACAGAAGCAGCTTTTGGAGTTACATCATGTCTCTTTGTAGAAGCTTTAGTCACACTCACAGCTTTAGGACTAATAGGTTTTGCATTTGGCAGAGACTTTGGTCCACATGCAGATGATGGTCTTTCCGTAGCATCAGATGCCTATTAGTAGACCAAGAAACACATTATGTTTATATGTCTGAATGTGTTAAAAAAACAACAAGTAGAGAGTCTCACCTTTTCTTGAACATGTTCCTCAAGTCTTGATTCTGTTTCTTGAACTTCAACACAATGCTCTTTATCCTCATCATCAACTCGAATCTCAATCTCTAGAGACATCTCTTGTTCTCCAAGATCCTCACAACTATCTTCTTTAATAGCTACACACTCCACTGAAACTACTTCAACTTTGTCCAAAGAAACATCAAGAGTCCCGCCTTCTTCATCAAGCTCGATCACATCATCCGTATTCACAACAATCTCATCATAGCTCACATCACATTCCTCAACATACTCACACTGAATCTTCCCTTGGTAGTTACAAGGACTCTCTGATTGACTCGTGTTCTCAGAGAAACTCCCATCAGATCGATAATCCTCGAAACTTTCAGTTGCATCATCATCATAACTTTTTTGACGAACACCCCAAGTCTGAGATTCAATAGAAGCAGGAACTCGCATCCCTCTCTTCTTGAAATGAGCTTCGAAATGAGCTTTCATCTCAGTAACAGAGCCAGGTTTTGAGCACTTGTCAACTTCTTCAAGATACCTATTGTGTGAAAACGATGATCTCTTCTCCCATGATAACCCTTCTTCCTCGAATCTCCCAAACGATATCGATCCCGAGTGTATAGAACTCTCCTGTTTCATCAAAGATTCATCAACCAATAAATAAAATACCAATCCTATAACGAACTTCCTCGTATCTCGACACCCTTCTATTTAAGACCACAACTTCCACGACATAACGTAAAAGCTTAATAAGACCAAAACAAGGCAAGCACAGTTGAGTGTTATGCAAGTAAGTTACAATAGAAGAAGTTACCTGAAAAGTAAGGCTAAAGGGTTGTTGAATCTCGCTTCCTGCCATTGTTATCTCTCTATCTCATACAATGAAAATGTTAAAAACCATTGAAGTAGAGAAGAATAAGAAGATGTGGAGAAAGAGAGGGATCGAGATTGGTAGACGAAAGGGTGAAAGAATCATGTCATGTGCTTTTGTTTTTTTGTCTTCTTCTTCTCGTTAGACGTTGGTCACGTTCTCCGTTATCACGCCCGTTTATTTCGGGTTTGAGTTAACACGATCAACGGTTCAGATCTTTGTTTTTAATGTGTAAACGGCGGTTTTCTTCTACTGACGGCAGATTTGATCGGTTTATTTTATTTTTTTAATGTGGCAGGGTTACGCCACGTGATATGACTCCACTACATATTTATTTTGATAAATTTTTATATTTAAAATTGTGGGGATCCAGATAAGAATTTTCCTCGAGCCCGTAAAGATTTTACGTTGATAATTTCAAAATTCTACTAGGTTGTGGTCCTTACGATGCATTTACAAAGTGGGCTTACAGTTTCACTGGGCTTGGGCCGTAGTTGTAAATAATCAAAAGGCTTATTTAAAAGGCCATAATTATAATTTGATTTTAATCTCCGAACATTGTTAATATTGGGTCATACATAACCGTTTGACCAAAAAAAGAGTTATCACCAAAACATTATGGACCATATGCATTTGTACTTTGGGCACATTGCAAGAACCGAGTTTGGTAGCGAATGAACTTCTTTCATTGTCGACCGGTAAGAACTACGAAAGCATTATCTCTTATAGTTTTGTATGGAGTCAAGCGTAAGCAAATGACAAGGTCTTCTATCATCTTAGGTTCATTTGGTAGTTTGCACTTTGTTCCGAGCGACCGTTTTCATCTGGTAGCTTCTCCTCCAACATGTCGTCCACAGTAATTCGTTTATTTTCACGATGGTAAAGTCAACCCACTTAAGAATTCACATTACACTAGAAAACCTATCAAAATAGATCAGTACGTGAACTGAAAAAGAAGTGTAGGGAACCAAAGATAATGTGAAGAAAATCAGCCATGAGACACAACAAGAAAGTACACCAAAACCAAACTAATGTCGGGAAACACTTGTATTTGCCTTTACATTTCTTTGCTTTTAGCCTATTTAACTTTACAGTTCTTTCTTTTTCCTTAATAATTCTGTTTATTGAATACCACAAACACACACTTTTTCATTTGACAACAACTAACCACACAGTTACCTTCAAGAAATCTACTTATCCAAAGTATGTCCAGATTCACCATATCAAAGTTAATAAAACAATAAAAAAATTATATCACCAAATCGAGAAGAACTTAAGGAAACTAGGTTCATTACCAAAAGAAAAATAAGTATATAATGAAAAAAAACACTTTAAGCTAAACTCCATTATATGATTGTAATATATTTCTTTGTGGTTAACGAAAAATTAAAAAGGAAGACTTGAGATGGAGTTGGCATGTGCGTATTGAGGGAGTGCGACTGGTCCCCAGACGCAAAGCTTCCTTTGTCTTGAGACACCGACCGGTGTCTGTGGTTCGGCCGACACCCACCTTCACCTGTCCTTCTCTCTCTCAATCTGTTCACGTTTCATTTTCTTCTTTTGCTTTTTTTTTTAATAAATTATATATTTGTGAATTCAATTATTAGTTATGTGATGGTATGCCACGAGAATGCAGCCACGCACACGAGGACACCACCATATCCTCTCATTACCTTCCCAATCACTAAACTTATTTTCATTTCTTCTACCTTGTTCGCGTAAAAACACTTGTCTAAAGTAGAAACGTACTGATAGCTACTCAGAATCTATATGAAGATTTGACTGCACAAAATGAAATAGGCTGTTGTAAGATTAACCCTAATATAATTTATCTCCTACCCTATTTGGATAACTTCTAAATATCTTACAAATATCTTTAGTTAATGTTACTGTTTTACCATGACAACCAGATGATTTTTAAGTTTTAACTTTTTACGATTTTGAGTTTTCTTATGAATCTTTGTTCCAGTTAGGCAGTTATGTACCAATTTCTCATCCCTTCCGACCTATCAATATATTTATTCATATGTATATCATATTCTACATTTGTTCTAAAAGAAATTGCACATTTATGGTAACGGGTAAGAGGGTTGGGATGAATAGTTTCAAAATTGTAGGGACAGAAAGACTATTTGGCTCTACGTTCGTAAATTGTGATCCACATATTTTCTTTTCTTCCTCTTCGACAGGTATACTGTGACTCGATCCATTGCCTTCAGCATAACTGGGACAATTAAGTCACAGTTGTTCTTTTCTTTCTTCCATTGGGTCCATTCTCTTGTTACTTCAATTCAATGCCACTGCATTCAATTATATAATACAAAGGGTTCTCTTATCTATTGCACGTCCATTTTCACTCTAGTTTCATTAATCATCTTCAACGGTTTGTTCGCTCAACGTAACGTGCATTCGTGTTTCACGTCCCTACCTTACACTTTGTCCATCGTGTTGTAGGCCGGATGGTCCGGTTTATGCCAAGACCCTTGACATGGCCTAATTTGATCATATCACTGAAACCAATAAGGAAAATCCAAAGAAGATAAACGTAACAGAAGGTGCCAATGAGGGGAATTTTTGAGCACATGAGAGGAGTGGGCACATAGTTAATAATAGTATAGAGACAGCCCGCACGAGTAGAAGAGAAAGCAAACAAGAACGAAACATTCATAATTTAAAAACAGATTTATTCTCTCTCTCTCTTTGTCTAAACGTACACTTAAGTTTTTTTTTGGGATTTAAGCACTCCTGCATCGAGATATTGTTAACTGGAGTTGAATTTAGCTGCTTGCGTCAATTTAGTTATACTTTCTTTTGTTTCGGTTTGGATAAAGAAGACTTTATTTGTATTAAAGAACCTTTTTAGATGCCAAACTGCTTTAGCAAAATGGGATCCAAATTACTTATATTATTTGAACATTACCAAGTCTGCTAAACAGAAATGTATATATCCGAATATAAATTTTCTCTAACAAAGTTAGGATACCATTTTATCTAACAAAAGTTATGATTTATATTAATTCGGGTACTAAAGTCGTTTGAAAATTTTCTTATATTCTAATCACTTGGCTTATAGTTCATAAACTAAACACATATATATACATGTACCTAGCTCTCCTCCAAATAGTAATAAGAATAAAGTTTGCTACATTTTGTGGGAGGTTCAGTTAATCATGCGTGGTTTGTAATTATGGTACTAATCTATTATCATCGAGACAATGCCCTTTTATCCAGAAGCAAAAATACATGACGAAGTTACCGATGATTCCATGGCAAATTTCGATAAAAACAAGAAATATATTATAGGCTAAAAATAAAAGTTTTAATACTATTATATAGTTGATTGAAATGGAGGTGCACGGAGGAGCCATTACAGCTTTTGTGCGACGCATGTTGGTCTTATTAGACTTTTAAATGGAGACTCTAATCTTGATAATCAATTTAATTAATAATTAGCCGACCAATTTTATAAGCCGTGACGGTGGATTAACTGCTTACAGACTTCTTTTGATTTGCGTCCCCTAATGTTCCCATCTAATGCGACAACACATAATCGAATCCCAATCAACGTTTTTCCCACTTATTACTTGATTAATCACTTATTAATCCCTGATTAGTGTTCACTGCCATCGTTTTCACGTCTGGATTAGGTGATAGAGTGTAAGAATCACTGGTTTCGAAACACATTTTTAAGGGTAACGAAACACAGATTAGGTGATAAAAATGACATGCAAGGTTGGAAATTATTACTTTCTACATTATTTTTTTGCAAAAAGTATTAAATTTTCTATAAGTACATGCACAAAAACTTAATTGGGTATTAAATGACAATACCATTTATTTATACCTGAAACTACTAAATCTGTTCTACCATTTTCAAGTAATGCAAGTTATAAGACTATTACTTGGATTACATATAATAGGAGTATATTAACTTTTAGATTTACAAGTTGTATTAATTTTTTTTTTGAAAGAATTTTAAATTTATTCATATAAAAAAACGTTTGTACAGAAAAGGAATGCAAATTTTTATACATTCTACTTAAGACTCTAAATTTTACTCTAAATTATTTTCTGCCTATCCAAATTCCCATAGTCTTTTCATACTTTCCTCCATTCCTCTTCTTCAAAGAAGGTGATTCTGTTTCATACCAGCTTTTCCATCTTTGGGAATAAACAAGAAACTGGCTGTGATGGATTGCCAACTCTTCTAGCATTTATTTATCTCTTGCCATAGCGCATAGGTAACAGCCTGAAGACAGTATAGATTTATCATCCAAAAAAAACAAACGCCAATATAGATTTGTGAATTGAAATTTATCCATCAGATTATTTTTACTTTATATCCACCAACGCATGTCTAGATACTTAATTTTAAATATTAGGAAGATAAAATCGACCCGATATTAGGTTATAAAAAATAGCCAGAGTATGAGCTAAACACATATTAGGTTATAAAAATGACCGGAGTATGAGTAAAACCCGGTCATTTCAGTCAATTTATGTATATAACTAGGATAAGACATACGCCTTGCGCAGGGTGAATATATGTAATTAAAATATAAAATTTTAATATTCACAAATTTAAAATTTACATATGATTGTTTTTGTATGTATTTGAAATTTTAGAATTTTGGGATTTTTATATAATTATCTATACGTATGATCAAAAACAACTTTAATTAGAAATGTAAATCAAATCTTAGAATTTAATGGATCTGATTTCATATATCTTTTTACTTTTCAGTGTTCGAGTGATGGAAAATAAATGGAGTGTCACTGGGCTTGATTGGTAGAGTATAGCAAGTTCCCTAATGTTTTTAAAGAAGCAATTGGTNAAATCTTAGAATTTAATGGATCTGATTTCATATATCTTTTTACTTTTCAGTGTTCGAGTGATGGAAAATAAATGGAGTGTCACTGGGCTTGATTGGTAGAGTATAGCAAGTTCCCTAATGTTTTTAAAGAAGCAATTGGTAAAATATTTGCAATTAAAATATATAAAGTTTCTAAACTAATTTAATATAATTTATTTATATGTCTAATAATATTAGAAAATTATA